AATTCATGACATAGCGTGACCATCACCCAAAGTTTTCAGTTACCATCCACTTCACTTCCGACTTGCTGACCCCATAGGTCATACCTTCTCATTGGAATTTCCTGACATCTATCTGGAAGCAAGTCACTAATGAGGACTATAGAGTTATGTATTTTTGAGAATGAGAAGCCGTGACCTGTGGGGTCAACCAGTCGGAAGTGAAGTGGATGCTAACTGAAGACCTTGGGTGATGGTCGCGCTATGTCGTGAATTGACAGAAGTTGGAAATTGTGAACCAGTGGAAACCGACCCAGTGGCTGAATGTTTAACGTATTCGCCGTGAAACCTGAAGGTCCTGAGTTCGACCTTTAGCCGGGTCGTGGGTGCGTGCTGCTAAGGAGTCCCAATGGTTCCCCAACTGATGTCAGTCTATGATGAATACTACTTGTAAATTAAAAATCCCCATTCATCTCAAAAACACATAACTTCTTCTTTATCGACCGATCTGTTTGTCTTGACAGATGAACATCAAGAAATTTTATTTCGCCTTCCGACTCTTCCTCACATGCAAACTTCGTCGCTGGGTGCACTTCGTTAATTCTGCTCAGCATGTTTGACCTATTTATGTTGGTTTCACACAGGATGGCGTACAACAAGTAACTTGCCATAACTCAGGTATACAAAGAACAACTTTCTGGATTTTTCCTTATAGAATGAACTCCCCATTGGAACAATACGTGGATTGGTATTGCATGCATTTTAAACAGCACAATAATCTTCTCTCAAATTCTACTCCTATCCATATTGTGAATATTAAATCGATCAGAGTTTCGAAGAACTACACTCAATGAGAACCAGGTACATCCGTCTGATGAGTTTGAAATAAGTTGAAACTCATATCATATCAGCATGGAGATAAATTCAAGTTAGCATACTTCATACAGCCACAAGGAGAAATCACCAATACAAATAGAAAAGTAATCAGGATAAAAAGGATAGTTAATGTGGTGATGGAAATGTGTGTCTAATATTCAAAAAACGATACTAAAAACCAGATCGTTTACCACTAAGCCATTTAGTTACAAGGTGGGATTCTTGGATCCCATTTCTGGCTACTAGCCAACATAATGTCAGTTGTACCGACGACTAAACATATTACACAGTCCACTTTAATCAACTACGCAACATTGATACAAATTGCAATCCCTCTTGTTTTCTAACCCAATGATTGTATTGGTAAAATTGATTTGTACTTGTGTGTGTATGTGCCTGTCTGTCTGTCTGCCTATCTGATTGATTGACTGACCGATACTGTGCATTTAGGAATTTCGATCACGATAATATGTCAAGAAAAAGTCGATTCTTTAACAAATGGACACATACTGGATACACAATCTTAGAAGAAATATTTCTTTGGCATTGATGTAAGCCATAAAATCCAGTTTACATCTTTATAATTTGTTAGTAGTTACCGTTAAGTTAAAAAAGGAGAAAAACAGCATTTCCACTGAAACTCGAGCTTGCCAACATTGCTATCTTCTCATTGGCCAACTAGAGGTGACCTCGAAGCAAGGACATTTCATGGTCATTGGTGAAAATAACACGACAAGGTGAAATCTATCCGATCGGTAGGATGATTATTAGTAGTGGAATTCGACAGGCACGTTTCGTCCTATTTGGGACTCATCAGTCGGAAATGATGTTCATTAGGAAAGAGATGAGATCTACTTACCACGTTCCACTAAGGTCTGTTTATATACTTGTACAACATACTATTGTTGTCGGTCACTTGGAGTGATTTGAAAATTTTCAGCTTCTAATTTACTAGGAATATATCTGTGATTGCGGCATATGGTGGTGTGAATACAAACTTCTGACATGATCAGTTTCTTTGTAACCAAATCAGAAGAACATCCAACACTTACATCATATTTACTTGGCTACCAAATGCTATCGACCGATGTGTAAGTGAGGTCATCAACTACTCAAGGTTAGTAGTCAGGTACATAGAACACAGAAACACTTTGTGAGCCATAACTGAGAACCAGACAGTTCTTTAGCATTTATTTATTTATTTATCCCTTTGGTTCCTAATGGAACATACCGCTTCAGTAGCACCTATCCATTACACTCTCTTCTCTCAAATCTTTTCAACCTCGATCCACAACAGCCCACAAACTCTCATTTATTCCTCACACAATCTCATCCATCTCACCCTCACCCCCAACGCCAAACTCGTCAATTCCCATCCAACTTCCACTCCACCAACTGGCCTGGTGCCTGATGTCACCAGTCCACCTTCTCACTGTATGCCCAATACAATCCACCTCCACTCCCTTACACTGCATATTTCTTCAGCAATACGTTCTTGCTTCGTTGGTTCGTCAACAGCCAGACAAACCTCCTTCTTCCACATTCTTTCTCACCATCTCATCTCAACTGATCTTCAGTAACGAGTCAGTGTAGGCAGCAGTTGTTGATCAATGTATCTAGTTTCTTGGAAATGCCTTTCGTGAGGCACCAAGTCTCTCAACCATCATATAGGAGCACTGACTTGACTGACTGGATTGGTGTTGAAAATCTGGATGTTGTTCACGCTTTATGCTGAGTGGAGTGCAGAAGATCTCTATACTAGTTTCAGGTTGATGATCGCCTGTCTTGCTCTCTTCCCGATCCTGGCTAGCTTTGACGTTCTCATCTGTGTCTGTGCCGCCACCTGTAGTTGAAACGATGCTGCCTAGATAGGTATTGGTGAAGTAGGCTACTTCCTTCAACTTTCTCCCATTGACGGTGATGGTGATTGGAGTTTGTTGTTGATATTGCTGTTGGTGGTGGTGTTGGTGTTGTTGGTTGGGTATCTTCATCACCTCTGTCTTCTCTACTTTCACTTGAAGTCCCATCTTCGCTATCCTGCCCCACCCTGCCGTGCCTCTTCTGTCAACTTGTTACTTTTCGCCTGTAGATCTCCCAGTTTGTGTGACATCAGACATAAATCATGATCGGCGAAATCCAAACCTTCTAGAGTCTTTTCCCCGTACAGCCAGCTTATCCCCTCTTCTCACTCCTCCCCATTGTTTGCTGCATGATCCAGTCCAGTCGACCACAACACAATCAGGAATATCATGGGTGATAGTAGGTAGCAGCCTTGTCTAGTCTTACTCCTGTCTTTACTTCAAAAGCATCACGTTCTTTAGTATAACTAAGAATAACAATCAAATTACGCGTAGCTTAACATTGCGTTTTGGTCTCACCACTAGGAAGAATGAATAGCTGGTGTTTCAAATAATTCAACTATTGACAATTCACACCACGTCTAACTTGCATGGCGCTACTCTTAAAATGCTTTTGTCACATACAAGAGAAGCTACAGAGGCAGCATAGCCTTCATAAATCTGCTGTTTGTAATAACCACATGCACATTCGTGCAACAGACAATGTGCCACATCTAATGAGTGAGGAGTAGGTGGTAGTACTACCTGCTTGTCAGTACCTTGGTAAGTGGTACGAGGGTTCGAACTAGAGACCTATTGGTGGTGCGTGTGTCAATGGAACCAAAGTTCTCGACTATTCTTCGTGTTATAAATTATTCATAATTTAAGCCAGTGACCTTTCAACTACCATCTCAACTGTCTATCAAGTGAGTTACGGAACTCTTCATTTTTATTCACGGAGGGTTTTGGGCGATTAGGACATGAACATATGGCATTTAACGAGAAGATTTGTCTAGGCAGCTTTTGGGTTTACAATGAACAGACAGTTGCATACTATGCATTCACATGACAGCCGGGAAAACCCTTCAGTGACTAAAATGAAGTTCTGGTGAATCACTGAGTCAGTGATCAAGAGGTCACTGGTTCAAATCCCTCTGAGGCCGAGGTCTTCATTTCACCTCCAATCATCCTCCTGAATCATTAAAACAAGTTAGCCAAATCACAGACATCTTAAACAGTCTGGTAAAGGAAATAGATTCTTAGTCAAAGCTAAACTTGTCTGCATGTATTTATGTATGCTTTTTTTAAGCCAGGCTATCTGGGATTGTCTTTGTTAGCATCGTTTAAATCTGAGGTTTAACTCGGAGTTCCAGACTGATCTTCAGACCTACGGATATCCTAAAACAAACCTGGTGGACTGGTCCTTTCATCGAGTAGAAAACATCCAACCAATGAACTCACGTGAAAAAGAACACAACTGCTACAGGATTCTACAAAACGCCCCTTTAAACCGATCAGCGTCATCTGGAAACCCTCTTAACTGTCAGGCTTCTCTGCGTCCAAATTTTCGGGGTAACCGGTTCGTGGAACGTAATCCCTTCCCCGTGAGCAGACATGAATAGGACAAGTTTAACTGAAGTTTCCAAAACCTTGCAGACCTAAAGGCAGTTCATCTTTCTGAAAAGACATTCCTCTAGGAGTCATGGCTCATGAACCCATAGTGCCAACAGATTCACAATAGCGCCTTTCGTAGGGTTTCTGAGTTACAACCAAGGAAGGGCGAATGACACCTGTATACGAGACCGAATATTTCTCACCTTCTCAAGGTAAGACTACACACATCTCTTGGTATTACTCCAAAGGCAATGACTACCGGAAGATGGATTCGGCTTACCACCATACGTTTCCACTATTCCAACGGCTGACAAAACCTTCCTTTGCTTTGAAGGCCCACACCACTGATCTTGTGCATATAGATCAAATTGACTTCGGTTTTCAATAAGTCAACTTGATAGTGTATTTGTTGATATCCATCGGAGCTATGAGAAGGCTTACCGTTGTTTGCAACACTAGGCTCAAACCATAATCCTCGGTGTACAAGATATCTCCGGTTTTTACAAACCAGTAACTTAAACCGATCACCACTTAACTGCACTGTGTAGACCTATCTCAATTAGTCAGATGGCCATCAGTTTATTTAACCAGTTATTGTTGAAAACTGACACTCAAAATACAAAACTTTACGCACATGTATAACACATTCAATATTCAATACAAAATATCAATCTTTTTTAGAAAGATCCTACTTACCAAGTTCCCCTTGGCGTACATCGAATCGTGATGCACCATCGCTGATGAATTCGGGATTTGAACAGATTTCCTGTAGAAGAACAAGAAAATATACAGTATAATTAAGTGAATAGTGAGGTGGAAAATGAAAAAGTTATTACACTCATTTGCTTGTTGGTGGCGGGTAGTAGAATCTAGGATGCATGTTTCGTCCTATTTCAGACTCACCAGCATCCACTCCATTGAGTGATGTTCTCCCCTATGAGATGTGAACCTCTTACTCATCGCTTCAAGGACCAGAGCGTTTCCCACCAGTCCACTGGGGCATGACACCAACTTCTTGTGCAACAGATATTAGTCATTATTTCTCAGTGATACTTTTAGTCACCCTTTGTTATTCTGGATCGAATTGTTCGACCTCTGTTGGATTTGGGGCTCCTGCATGGACCCCCCCCTGAATATTCATTATGTTGTAATTTGCTTGTTTGTGACTAGCAGAGGGATCCAGATTGACGCGTGTTCCATTCTATTTAGGACTCACTCGTCAGGTGAATGTACCTGCACCCCCAGAAAATCAACAAATAGTTGTCACTAATGCCCATTATACAAGAGGTGGCTATCATGATTCACTTGCCTAGTGGCATTTGAAGTTATGGGTACGAGGCTATGGTCTCAGTGGGGGGGGGGACAACAAACTAGGGCACATGTATGTCTAGCTGATGAGTCCCAAATAGGACGACATGCACCTTCTGGATTCCTCTGCTAGCTACACTCAAATAAATATTTGATGACCCAGAAGTCATCTTATCCAAAACACTATTAGAAAGAAAGCTTGGCTGAAGATTCTCGAATGTTCAAAAGTGTTGGCTGCATGCGAACCTATTCACATGTAGCTAAAAACAATTCTTTCTGCTAAAATACAGTTCTGTTTAGTACATCAGTCGGTAATCTTATGTCCAGCGTCAGTGGAAGATACAAGAAGTCATACTATAGTAAGACTTTAACTATGAGGCTTTAATCCAATGGAAAAGATGACAGAGAAATCCATACAATATACATTTACACTTTACAGTAATAGATGGTAGGCTAAAATTCTATTGTGTAAAAGGCAAACAATACTACATCTAGGGTTCGAATCCGTTCGGAGATCAATGAATCACTATTCAATTCCACTTTTTTAATCGATAAATTTCCAAATCTAATTCATAGTTTAACAGGGGAGTGTAAACTTTTAATTTGAAGTCTGTTAGACAACCCCTATAGGTGCAGAGTTTTAGTGATGATACACTTTTTTCAATCACTTATCTCTCATCTATCTATCGATGTTCATCATCCTGCTGGTCAGTTTGTTAATTTAATCAAATCACTACCTAAAGGAACCTTTTCTCAAATAAAAATGAATCGATCAAAAGCATAAATCACCGACAAACAGTCAGTGATTTAACACAATGATCCAATCGCTTCAATCTGACTGCTCTATACGTTTTTCTAGCCTACATTTTGCTTCATTTAACACTGCACAATGAGATGGACGATGACTAGGTGGGTGCAACACATATCTCAGTCACTTCACTACCTTATCAACTGACTATTCTCTCCTACCTACAACTGTACATCTGACACCTGCACTACTGATATGGGGACACCATAACACATAGCCTATGTTGAGAAGGAAGTGGTGGAATCACCGCATGAGCAGTGTTCAAGGCAGGTGAACGGTGAGGTTCAAACTGGTGACCCATTGGTTGAAAGGAAGGATTTACCACCAGCTAGGATGTGTTTGTAGTTGGAGGACTCTTGTCCAAATGATTCAGCTTCACTCTGCTTATCAGTGACCTGATTCAGTCCACTGAAGGAAGGTTGGCTGAGACACTGAAATTTCAGAATTTACTTAAAGTCAAGGATAAAATGCCAAGTACATTGAATCCCTGCTATTATCACCGAACAAATCTATAGAAGTCAACACAGAGAAACATTTCATAACAACACAGAAGAGAATATTTAAGTCTCAGAGGGAAGTGAGAAAGCAGTGAACTTCCATAGCAAACAAGTAAACTGAGATAGTCAACACAGTGAAACATTTCACTGAAGATTCTTAATTTACACTCGAAATATGGGAAATCCTTGTGAGAGATGCGTCAGTTTCGGATCAATCTTTTGCCAGACTCAGCTCTCCCATAAGTACTTACCATATCACCCTCATCACAATTTAAATTATCCATAGGAGATCGATTTAAGAAGGACATTAAAACTGAGACAGTCGCCTGTACATAAATTTTGTCGCTAACGGGGAAAACATGTAGCCAATCAAGTCTTTAACTATCCAAAGCTGAAGGACATCTATGAATCGATTTTGTGATATGGCCGTCAAGCGAAGTGATATGATACTGGAAGTCAGTTGACAAGAAACCATACTTGACTTGAGTTTTGCAACTCTTGGGATTCATCGGCATGGTGTATTTGCAACCATAAGGAAAATAGTGCTCTCTCGGTAGCTTGAACTCGTGTCCTACAGTTCTGATATCACAGAGCTTACTATTAAGCTATTGAAAATTCGACTGATACTATGTAAGACTGTGTTGTATGTACACTGTAGTCATCAAAGGATAACTGCACAGTGTTGAGCACCAATAAAATGACAGGTATATCATCAGTCCATTGGTGATCAACAAATGCGCATAATCCAGTTTCATGGAGGATTACAATCACCCAACTTCTTCGTCCTATTTAAGTGAACCCGCTCCATTGAAGTCAGTTGACCAGATTTAGTTGGTCTAAACAATTCGGCTGTATGATCTGGGTTTGTCTGGCTACACAGGTGAGGAACTCGGTGACAAATAAGCGAAACAGCTGTCCAGGGTCCAAATAACGGAAATACTCTAGTAGGATCGCATAATTTTCCAGGACAAAACACAGAACCAGTCAATCAACACAAAATAAAGTTCACTAAGCAACTATATTTACTTCGTGATGGCCAGCAATGGAATCCAGGATGTGTGTTTCATCACATAGAAGCACCTACACGCCATCAATGAGTGACCGTATTCCCAACACATCCAGCCAGGTTGTTATCTACTTCACTTAGTGATCCAAAAGCACCTCTTCTATAATCTGTAAACCACTCGATTACAATTTAGTCAAAGTAATGTTAGACAGTAGCTATGAATGAAATAAATCCAGACAACGTGTTTCGTCCCAGTCAGGACTCGTCAACCAGACATACCCACCAACTTGTATAGTTGTTCTCAGTAAGACTTAAATTCAACATCCTGTGCCAAAACATTGAGCCGAAACAATAATTTACTAGCAGTTTCATAGCTTAGCAAAGTTGTCACCTTAGAGAAAGTTATGTCTGTTGGTAAATGAATAGTCTTCAGTCGGTGATTTTCAATTAACTGAGAGCGTTGTTTTGCGTCAAAAAACGGTATGTCAGCCAATATATATATATATATATATATATATATATATATAGCACTAAAGTTCATATATATTTGTTTGCACCAAAGTCACACACACCAACTATTACACATAAGAGCAATCTGTGTCCAACCGAAATCAATACATTTTTCGGTAAACACACAGAACTCAGTATTCTCATTAATAAATGCAATAGATTATTGATTTTGTTCAATTAGTGATGACTGAAGTTGGAATGAAAATCTCGACCGTGGCCGGATTCGAATCAGTGACTACCGGGTTTCAAGCCCAATGTTCTACCACCACAAACCTGGTGGTCACTGGTTCGAATCCGGGCATGGTCCTTTTGGATAGAGATGATCGTTTGACCAAGGTTCTTCACTTATTGGTCTTCGTCAGTAGGGAATATCTGTGAACTCGAAGGAATTGATACCCTCTGTGAAAGTCGAACCTACGTTATCCAGCGTTTCAGTCAGCAACGCTGCCATTAAGCTATTGAGCTCGTAACTGACCTCCTAGGTTCAGGGGTTCATACCAATTACTTTTTACCAACCAACATTTAAGTGCACCACAACGGTGGGTCCCCTGCCTTGATGACCAGATTCCTTATGACCTACAGGAGGTCAATCACTATGCGAATAGCTCACTGCTGCACGAGACCTGTGTCCACCGATAGCCTCCAACCATCTAACCCATGCCTTTAACGAATATAAAGACTTAGATAACAACCGTAAAACACCCTACAAACTTTAAAGTAGTTTACACCATATGGTGACATCAGATGCAGAATCCAGTAAAAGTATGAGAATATCGATTGGATACTGCGTTCTAGCGTTGGGCTCCTTCAACAGTGTACACTCAGGAGCCTCAAAAGTAACTGAGTAGTAAACAGAAATTGAAAGATAGTGGGTGCATACTACTAACGTGTCCCATATGAAGAGGAAACAGTTGTTAAGTGCTTTCAGTTCTTTAGCTAATCTACACGATGATGACTAGTTTCAAATCAATAAAAAAATTTTATGCCATGGAAATATCAATGACTTTGAGTGAACTAAATAAGGTTAGATTTTAAGGTTGGAATTCATCATGGACTGATTAACACTAATTGGAGTAACCCCTGCCAGGGATCGAATCCAAGACCTTCAGGTCCCGTGGCTACCACCTTACCACTCAGCTAGCCACTCGGTCGGATTCCAAAGGTCTATATTTCCTACTTCTGTCAGTTCACGATATAGCGTGACATCCATCCAATGCCATCGTCGAGTAACTGTCTTCACATTCATCTTGGTTGACCCCACCGATCACAATTTCTCATTAGACTTTGGGAATCACCCATCGAAGCTCGTCATCAATGTGCACAAAACAGCTGTGCAGCGCTTCCAGGTTTCCATTGTTTTTCCAACTGATGTCACTCAGTCCGTTATGAATACCAACCTGAAATCAATAAATAAATCCCCACAAACCTCCGAATTGAGTTAATCTAGTCCTAATTGGTAACTAATTTGGAGAGGTAGTTCCTGAAGTTCCTGTGAGAAATCATGACCAGTGGAGTCTAACGGAATTAAACATGAGGACAGTAACTCAACAACCACATTGTAAGGAGGTCAGGCTATGTTGTGAGATGACAGAAGTAAGAAATGTGGACGATTAGATTCTGACCCACTGGTTAGCTCG